GCGACCTAAGGATAACCGCACAAATTCTACAGTCCTCCGCTCTACCAATTCGAAAGTGACAAAATTCATGACTTGACATTGTCTCTATCTTTTTGTTAATATCTTACAAGCTGTCCTCCTTTTTTCATCAATCATGCAATGTGAAAATTTTCCGTGTTTCAGACTGATTAAACGACGTTTGCTGATTCCTCTCCACTGAGTTTCGGAAACATCCATGATATCACCGAAAATATTTCGATGTTCAGGTAGATTGTCTCAATCTGTTACCTGAACCTTATTGATTCGCAATTTCGTCACTTCATAAATTTTATATTCAAAATTTGTGATGAAACCATAATTCCTCGGGGTTTCCTTCATCACATATTCTATGGTTGATCTGCATTGTAACGGTGAGGAAGTATCAAATTTCATGGAACTATAAAGGTTCAAATCCCCTCATCCATTGTCATTTATGAACCTTTTTCGCAGAAGTACAGCAGCGAAATAATGTCTTATTTATTATAACGATTAATAATAAATATGCAATTAATACTTCAGCTCTTGCCCTTCGGCTTATCCTTGATTGAATTATCGTGACTCAGTTTTCGCGACGTTTAATAATTGAATACCGTATTCAACTCATCCCGTTCCATCGTTAGTCGTGCGGAACAATTCTCATTCATGCTTAAATTTTTAATCAGACAACAAAAATGACGAACATTATCAACACTGGACAAAAGTCTCAAAGCATGTCACTGAATATTACAAAGAAAGTTTCGCTCTCATCCATCAAAACAATGCAGAACACATGAATATAAAAGGAACGTCGTGTATATCATAACAATGTGCAGTATTTGACTGAATTATGTAAGAGTATATAAGCATTTTGAAATGCAACTAAACATTTGTATGAAGTGTTTGATATTCATTTTGTTTGTTGCCACATTTATAAAAAAAGTGACACCATTTGACAAATAATACTGAACTCAATGAGAGATTTCGCAAAAAAATACGCATACAGAAATTGCTTTTGAATGGTTGTTCAATAGAAAATAGTAAAGATTCTAATTATAGGTCATCATAATTTTCATAAATGGACGCATCTTGTTATCATATGTTCATTCGCGAAACTTATATCGCAAAAGCATTTTCCTGACATGAGAATGTTAAATGATAAATAAAAATTCTTCTTTAGTGAAAGAACAGTCGAATGAGCATTCGAAAGAGCAAGTTTAATGAAGAAAACGAGTAATTGCGCAGAAAGATATGCCAGAGCACTTTTGTCAAGCATGACTTAAATCAAGAAATTTAACATTTCGAAAAACGAATTCAGACCATACGAGTAATACGTCAAGCAGTTAATTAAACGAAAATAAACATTACGGTGTTATCAGATTCCAACGAGCAAAAAGACAACTTGAAATACAATTTTACATAAACGGAGTGTGAAAAAGTTCCGAAAATTTTATAATCACGCTGACTCGATGAATCAGGCGAAAAAATATGAAAAGCAATTGGCGTTCATAAATATATAATTAGCAAAGATTGAGTCAATAAATCAATGAACAATTATAAGTCAATAAAATGAAAACGATCATTCGACGATTCATCATCAGGTGGCATAACAATACCCAATATACGACCCGCATCGTTTGCATCAAAATCCTATAAATCTCTCCAATTATTAACATTGAAAACGAACCGCTAAATAAATATTGAATATTACAGGATAACTTTTGAAACTATTTAAAATAGCCTTCGATATTCATCAGTCGTTAAGTGTAAATAATTCCAATACAGTACGTCTATACTACCGCATTATGAAGACTTTATGGTCACGAAAGCAGATCATCTTAAAAATAAGATAGAATATGTTGTGTTACGAAGAAAATGTCATGGTGTTCATTTCCAGTTTGCTGTTAATCTTCGCCTTCTCGTTTCTAAGTGAGTCTCTCATGAATCATGCGCATCACAGAGATCAATTTCATTAAGTCCACTTATGAACATTATATTCCTTCATTTTGCTTGGCAATAAAATAACCAAACAGTTAAAATGAGTGGTTGCCAACTGCTCAACAATATTTTGCACTGATCACTCGAAAGAAAAACGCTGCAAAATGGCAACAGATATTCCACCTGAATATACAACGCTTTCATTGTTTTCTTATCCCAAATCGTTATGCGTTCTCCATCTTTATTCGCAGAAAATTTCTTCGCAAAGAACCTGGCACCATAACCCTTTATCAGCGATGCGTGATCGTTGACTAGCTGAAGAAAGAAGGCGGCCGGCCGATTTCTCTTGCGTTTCCAAATTATCTGAAATCAATACGAAAATGATTTGAAATTCATGTCAGCTGAATGGCCGCAAGGTCCTCTGTGATACTATCACGTAAAGACGTAAATTCCGAAATAATACCTGAAAGCATTTGGACAACCTCGACGGAAAACCAGCTATGAAATGAACCATCCCCTCATCCAATTTATCCTCGCTGCAATTGATCAACGATAACTTCCTGAGGCGTGGAGCGAACTAAAACAATAACCGTTTATTTTTGTGTCAATATGTTTAAACACAGTTTTTATGAGAGCAGAAACCTTAGTTGAATAACAGAATACTATCTGAACAGTAATAATGAAGCAATGTTGTGACTGAATCCCACTGAATCAAAATGAATCAATGGATAAAATAAATTCAGAAACATGAAAAAGGTAAAGCTGTTCAAGACTGTTTAATAAAAGAATTTCGAAGAAGATACCATTGCTAAGTGAAAAAGAAGCGTATTGTCAACAGCTGATGCTTGAATGAATTTAGTATCTGACATTTTCGGTAGAGGATTCGACAGAAGCAGAGTCCTCAGAAGAGATTCATCGGTTACGAATGATGCCTCAAATCGAGCCAATACATTGCCGAACGCAGGAGGAGGCCGATTGATGGGGCTTGTCCCTTCTTTCCGTCTGTAGATGAAATGGGTTTTTATGCACAATATCTCTCATAGGGAAATCATGCTTATAACGATAACATATTGTATATTCGATGAATGTTTAACTTGAAAATATTTTACGTGAAATTGTAAAAACAATAAGGTGTGCAATACTTACTCGGGCTTCATATCTTTCTGAAGAATACCAAAATGAAGCATAAGTTTTTTAGAATGCATCAATTCGGCAATCTCGTAAATTCGATCGTAATTCGTTTCTTCGCTTATAACGTTCAACGATATTGCACGAAAATTGGCTCTGAAATGAGTCTCGTTTATAGACGTATTCTAATTTTTTCTCAAAATTGTCAATAGCTTTTCTCATTCACGGAACGTTATCAATTTCCATTTATGATCGATTGTAAGCACTCATTACATGTGGAAGTGATATGCAGAGACTTCACGTCCACATTATTTGTTTTCCATTTTGTCGTCTTATGACCTCCGAAACGCATACATCCCTAATCATCTGAATAAATACTGTCACCAACAAATTTTTATATTCATCTTTTGATGCACAACTACGCACTCACCTTAATATCTATATGAATACCGTAACACTTATGCATCACTGGAGGATAATGTTAGAGCGTGTGTGAAAATTATGAGGGTTAATATCGGAATTTTTAAGTAGTGAGCCGTACTGAGTATGAATACGAGAAGCCTTGGAACAAAGATCGCAATGAAGTGATGCAGATGCAAATGTTAAAAAATTCCCAGTTGTCTAATATCAATAAGCGGTAAAAATTGTCGTATTGACAAAATATTCTTCAAGAAATGTACCGATCTCTTCAACATTGTTTGAAATAATTCCTCTTGATTGAAGAATTCACCGTGATGTGGTTTTTACAACTTTCAATGGCCACATTTCGAAGGGAAAGGAACACTGAAGAGTGATCTTCAACCTGCGAGCGCCTTCGCATCTTTCTAACGAAATGAAAATTCTCTTCTCTTCAGGCTTTCAAAATTGGCATAGCAAAGAGCTCAGAGCTGCAAACGACATCAGATCTGCATCTTCGCCGAACTTTCAAGAAATTATGGCTGTCATGGCGAAAGCGCGCATTCATCAATGTCATGAAAGTATGAGATTAGCTCTTTGAATCTCAAAATAATGAGATCTAGGACAAGCTAATCAATTTCCTTGACACTTTTCAAAAGTTGCTCTGCATTTTTTGGTGATAAATTTTTTGAGAAAAAAAGGAAAATCGCAAAATAAAAAGCTAAATGGGTAGATTGACAACTCAATTTTTGTGTTACAGCTGTTTAATTGTAAGTGACATTCGTAGATGTCACAGAAAAAAAAACAAAACACTCTTTGAAGTATGTATAGTTCCATTGGAAAACAGAAAAGGTTGAATTTTTTGGACGAATCTTCATGCAATGGACTCAGAGTTCGTCACTTTATTTGGAGTCTCTAAACTGAACTACAATGCAAAAAAAGCGAACATTCTCTGGAGATTTACGAAGTTTTTACCCGAAAATCTCCGATGATCCGAAATTCAAAGCAATTTGCCCTTTTCAACAGCCTCAAAGGAGTTGCTAATTAATTCCACACTCGCTGCCTTAGCTTGCCTTGATTTTTCCACAATTGGCTAATTAACTCCATGAAATATGCATAATTTCATGAAATATTCACTCGTAATTAATGATACTAAAGTTTCACTGATAGTTAGATCCTCAAAAAAGTCAAAATTCTAACATTAAACGCGACTGAACTTTATTCATCATCAATTACTTCTGGAAACTGCAGAAACGCTTCGCTTCTGGAAATTCTTAACTAATTCAGTAGAGACTATCTCTCATTTCTCCATTGCAGAAAAAATGCAGAGAATGAATGACACAAACTGAACAACAGTAAACAGTAAAAAACAGTAAAATCCATTAGCAGTAATAGCATCTTTCTGACAAGTCTATCCCACTGACGGAATTTACTTATTTTTTGCTACATTTGAAGAAATTTCCTTCACATCTTCCACAACTGAATTAATCATATCAGAATTTTTTTGAGAATAAAACCGCTTTTTTTCTGAGCTGAGCAAATTTGGTCACAGTGAAATGCGCTTCCATCGAGAACATTAGCTTCAAGATTCGCTAGATAGTTAAGTTCGTTATTTGAGTTGAAATAGAAATATGCTGTTTACTGTAGAACGAGAACTGATAGAGCGAAACAAATTGCTTTCGGCCTATCACTAAAACTCATTGAAAATTTGGACTGAATAAGTGCAAATATAGCATACATTCAATTAACTGATTATCGTAAATTTCGATAACTCTTACAATAGATGCTTATATTTTGCTACCATAATTCCATGAAATATGCACTCCTAATTAATGATACTAAAGTTTCACTGATAGTTAGATCCTCAAAAAAGTCAAAATTCGAACATTAAACGCGACTGAACTTTAGTCATCATCAGTTACTTCTCTAAATTCGAAAAACGCTTCGCTTCTGCTGACATAAAATTTTTTCTGAGAAATTTGAAAACAATTTTCAAGAGTACAATGCATATTTTCTGTCCCACTAATGTATCCTTTCCTCATTCGTTTGTATGGTTTATTTCAATCAGTAACAGTTTCCTTCCGTTAAATTTTCACAATTCAGTTCCCCCATTCTCCATGCCCATTTCTGTTGTTTATCCAAACAATCCTGTCTTCTGATCCACTGCACCTAATAACTTCTTCGATTTGCCCAATAAAAAATGAATGATCTACTAACGATAGGCACTCACCCAGTGAATGGTAATATCTTATTGATGATATAATTGAGATTTGCATAGCAAAGATCGAATTTGATGAGTTGAAGTGCTTCTAATGAGATGTCTAATGATGAAAAATTCAAAGCACTCAGAGCTCGAATTGATTCATTGATATCGTTGCTGGATGTTGGCGAGTTGAACGTGTCATTTGAACCAGTTTTATGAGCATCGATCTTGCAGTAACGAAATATCTGAAATGAATACGACAAATGCACTTTATATGTTGATACATATATGTTCATATATGTTCATAATTAACTTAATTCCGATCACGGATCTATTTTACAAATTTACATCTATGTCCCTAGTGTAACCTGACTGATGAGCAATGTCATCTCTTGTACTAATCAAACAATAGAAATTATTTTTGATTAAATAATAAATCAATCATGAAGAGAAATTTTTGTTTAAGATACTGAGTTGATTTCATGGTACTGAAACGGGAAAAAATTCAGATGCTTTCAGTATTTTACAGCTTCTTTAATCCATAGGCATAAAAATAGTTCAGAATTATCAACAGTCAAGGCTAGATTCAAATAAACGAAATGTGATGTAGACGACAGCGAATAATGGAAAACTCAGGAAATCTCATCAAAAATTCCAACTATTCTAAGCAATTTTGATAGTAATCATTAATAGATGATAATTTCAAAAAACACTTCTTACAAATCCTCCAAAAGCAAACCCATTATCTACAGAAACAGAACATTATTACATTCTAAAAACGACTTTCTTTTAGATACATCGAAAAAGGCGTTTGATGGTACGAAAGAAGTGCTTTCTGTGGCAGCGCAAAGCACTTCTAATAACGAATTTGCATTTGCTTCTGATTGCATGTTATGGTGTGATACATTATAGGATTGGTGCTTTTAATTCACATTAAAGAAGATTAGACATTTTCTACGGTTTGCAAATGCATGCACGCTTCATAATCAACACTTGTGAGGTGTACCATATCCTATTGATTCCCCATTTTTTGTATTCATTAATGGATCATAATTGTAAAAGACACATATTTGGTTAGATATGGTTCATTCTTTTGTGCACGTTATTTGTAATACCGTACTTACCATTAGTCACTCGAATATATTCTCTCTGAATACTTCATGCATAATGTTCTCACATAAACTTTCCATCTTCTACCTAATAATCAATAGGATCCCATAAAATTCACGCAAAATTCAACGAATCACCAGAGCGTTCCAGGTAATGGATATCTCCTCACTTCAACATTGCCACTCCCATTATTTCGATATAGAGCCTGTTCGATCCCTCCCGCTCAGTTCTATTCAGATACGGGCTTCGTGGCAGCATTAAGGATATCTTCTTGAGGTCATGCGGTGCTAAATTATCCACTTCAATCTGCTGTTAGGCCGACACCATTCTGAATAATCTTCAGCATATCTAATTTTAAAAAATTCATTTTGTATCATCCTTTACAATCTTTCTTTCACTGGCTGAATACTGTTTCGAATAAAGATCAGGATTCCACTGACAAATAGTGACTCACAACTCCTGTGACTCACGTTGACAGTAACTCACAAGTTTGGCTCGGAAGCAGTTCTCAGATAGATCCTTCTGATTCACTGTCTCCGATTTGCTAAACTCAAGGATATTCGATAATTATATCACTTGAAATTTCAATTAATTCTCGTAACTTCATCCATCTACAAACGAAAATTTAATTAAGTCGCTGACAACAAAAATAATAAATGTTTTATGAATAACTGCGAGACAAATGCAGTATTATTTCGACAGCAACTGCTGCAAAGCACACTTCAAAACTAGATAGCGTAATTTCAAAACTGGATAGCGTAATAGCCGGCAACAACTGCGTGAATTTTCATTCAGTTCCTCTTGCGTCGAGAAGTGATTGTGAAGCATGAATCGAATCACTTTGTTATTCATAATTGTCATGAACAACTGATTGATTCATTTACTTTTCATAATGGAGTATCACTGAAATGATCGATTAATGCTTCAGCATTATTTTCAGATGACTCTTCTGCTGAGACTATTTACAATTTTCCTTGCTGCTGTTCTTGTCACAAAAGCAGATGTTATCAATCGATTTAGGCTTGCACTGGCTGACGTGAGTTTACTATCACATTTATTATTCGTCAAAATGAGCTGAGAGAAATTAACGATTTCCTCATTCATCTAATATTGAACATAATTAATATCTTTACAACTGAAGACGGTTCACTCAGATCATTCATTTTATGTAAAACAATTTCGAGTTAAAAAACGGCTTTCCAAAAATTTGTAAACTTTACTTTCTGCAAAAAAATCAAATAAGAGGGCCTACCAATCATCAGATGAATATACTGACTTAAATTTCAACGATTATTCGATACAACACAACTCAATCTGCAATTTTCAGCCAAGGGACGATTTTGAAGGGGGTTTATTTCGAGATGCAGCACCGCAATCGATACCACTGAATGAAATGTACGATCTTGTACGGAACGCTCTCCAATGGAGATCGTCCAGATCGCCGTCCCACTATATAATATAACTGTCAGCATTCAAACGACAAAATAACGAAAACTGAACCGAACAGAATGAATATGGCTCGATTACCACCAATAATGTTAATATTACTTATAAATTCATTCAAGCCGCATTGAAATTTGACTTGGAATAAAAGATGGTTTTTTTATGTTTTCAGTTCATTTGTCTCTTTCATTGATACATCAACTTTTTTCGATACTCTAAAAACTCATCCGTTAGCTTTGTGCATAAATCTCGTGGCATTCAATGCCGGTTTTGTTCGTAGTGATAGAATTCCGCGAAGAAATTAATTATTGAAAAGGAAATACCTATATCATCTCATTGTGCGATACCAGCTCACCAGTCCATATCAGAACTCGGCTCTTATATTGCATTTGTTTCTTAATGTTTTCTCAAGCCCAGTAACTGAGTTCAACCCATGAAAACAATTCTAACAACACCAATCAAACGGTGCAACTCTGACCAGAAAACTACTTCAAACATTTGATCGGAATCAAACTAAACTGATAATTAATCACTAAATTCAACCTCAACCGTGCACAGTTGCATGATTCAAAGGAGCAATAATTAAAATGTGCTTATTTAAAATAATATCACTTCCTTATAAAATCTTATAAAATTTATCAAATAGAACAATATAAATAATTAAAGTAGTCGGCTATTTCGACGTGGCTTATTTCAAAAGCACTCGATAAATTGGCTTATAATATTATCACTAAAATCCCACTCATAAAATCAGAAATCTTCCTCCGAAATGCCGATGATTATGTGTTGTATATCTCTGAGCACAGTTATCGATAAGTGCACTTAAGATTTTAAGATCCACCATAATCCACTCAAAATCAACTGCACTCTACATACTCCAGATTCAATAATCGCGTACTCACGTCTTTGATGGGAAACTGAACCATTCAATAATGGGAAATTGATTATGTGGAACAAATCCCATCCCCCACTGTTCTTTATAAAGTGAAAAGCACTCTTCAGTATAGAATGTAGAAATGAAAAAAGTGGATTGTACTTGACAATAGACTGGACGAAACATTAAAAGCGTCTGGCATGTGCTTCTGGGAAGTTTCTGAATTACTCACATCTAACAATACGAATGAAAGAAATTCATTGAGTAGAAACATGGAAGAACGCAGTTTGTGAATATATTCAAAAAAAAATCATCAAACTAACCAAATACTGAAGTTTCGGTAAATTCTCAGAGCTGATTGTTTTGAGGAATGAATCAAATTCATCCGAATTTGCGAATTCAGCATGGCCAAGCATCAGGTACTCAAGGTTAATCAGTGCCTTCAATTTTGGCATTATCACCATGAAATGACCACTTCTGTTTAGCCACTCCAACGTGGTCAAGCTTTTCGGAAGGAAAACGTCTTGATCTGAAAAATACTTAATCGTCATCTCAGCAACGTTCCCACAAACGAAACAGTACACATCGCTTGCAAATTCCTAAATGCAGCGCTCAGCGTTATGGGTTCTAATAACATCCAATCAATTCACAATACATATATCTTCAACAGCTCACGGAACACCCTTCACTAATAGCATCAAAAGTTGCATTAGAAATCAACATCGAAATGTTTCGAGGTTATGAACCGGTCAGTGATACTAAAAGTATACTGAATTACAGGTTAAACAACTTCTATCAATAATCCGTACGTATATTGAATCCATCCAGCATAAGGGTGTCCAATTTTCCGAAATTTGGAAATGACATCAGATCCAATCCAGTCCAGAAATAATCTTGACCATGAGGCCGCATTGTCATGCCCGTCAAGTCTGGGAAGGTCGAAAATGCTTCATACAAAGCTTTTTCCTAAAAACACACGAACTCGAGTGATTCTAAACGCAAGTAATATCTTTCAATGCAAAACGAGAATATACGCATATTCCAATTAGGAAATTATGACAACGGATTTCAGCACAATACAATCGATTCAGTGATTCTTCGTCGCTTTTTGGAAGCTTTATCCACGTTCTCAAGCTTCATCTCGTTCTACTACTTATTAGTGCTGCTAAAAACCAAGTAAAAACTTATTTAACTATTATATGATATGAACATAAACCGGCCAAGTTTTCTCGAGAATCAAAATCTAAGCTTACAATCATAAAACTTTGCAGTTTAATGCAGAAAATCAGTAAAATTCATGTGTAAAGTTGATTACTCACAGCTCGATAAGGGTATAAGTCGAGGCATCGCATTTTGATGTTCATTTGCTTCAACATTTCTGAAATTCGGATCCAATACTCTGCATGAAATACTTTCACATGGAATAACAGAATGAATGAAATGATATGGAGATAAAGTTGTTCATGAACACTGAAAATGAAAACGAATAGGCGATAACTTTATGCCGAGTTTTATCAGAAAAATGTGATGCCAGACGCACAACTCACTGAGTATTTCGCCAGCGAATGTTGAACTCCAAAACCAAATCTTCACACTGCTAACCGAATGACAGTGTTGTAGAATTGATAGGAGCATATCAGCGCTTTTGATATGATAACATTTCAAACTTAAAATATTTTATTTCAACCACATTTCTTGGAACCATCATGTTTTATTTGACATCAACGGTTTAAAGATCGAAAGATTTGATATCGAAGTTTAGTGTTCGCTTTTCACTCACAACTCTCTTCTCATCTCCTTAATAGCCGAGACTACCTTCATAAAGCAATTCGGTGTCGTTGAAGATACCCACAATTCTAAATTGTTCCAAAATTGAACACTCGTTTCTGGGAACAACTTTGATCGAACTGTTGCAAATAAATTAAAATACTTCAAATCCTCCGCATTCATGTGGATCGTAATTGCAAAAATGACCATAACATAACTTACCCGATACTTTTATTACAGCTAATTTTATCCTTATAAATGTTATTCTGGAATATATTCAGTACGGTAACATCTTCCATTGGAAATCGGCCAGTTAGCAGATAATGCCATCGCTGACAAACCTTAAAATTCAATATTTCATATTCAAACAATGCATGCATTCGGCTGTATCATATTCAAACACTATTCAGAGATCTCACGCATTTAAACTCAACAGATATGAAGTGCTATTAGGATAAGGTTTCAGAAGGGAACATGATAAACGTAAGTTTAACATTCAAGCAATTTGTCTAACTAGTAAGGCCGCTTCTTCGTTTACCTAGGAACATCCCGCCTGATGATCCTCTTTTCTATCGCAAATTGTGACACAATTCATTCAAGCAATATGATTATCAGATGAACTATCCATAGGCAATCGGTTTGAAAAAGTAACATCCGACGGGAGTGAATCTGTCCACGGATGGCGTGTATTTTAAATGCAGTCTAACGAAGCAGTGTTGTTGAGATAGTAATTAGAGAAATGAGACTAGGCTCACTTGGGATGCAATCGCTCGTTCTTTGAGATCAAATGATTCAAAAACACATTGCATCACAACGTCAGGCATGGTCTCGATTCCAGAAACGCATTCCTCTGGCGATCCATCCGACCTTCCCATCTCACTGCCATCTGCACAAGTGCAACTCTCGTTTGAGCAACATTCCTAAAATTTGCCATAATCTTCATTCGTGACCTCAGATCGGTGTTTAAACTTTCGACAAAGTTTTCGGTGTGCTCTTTTTCGAACGTAATGTGATAGGCTCGAAGATTGATCAAAATAAAACACCTTGAACCAAAATATCAATTGGGACAGCTTGCGGAATACGTAATCTATGAATATTCAGGATTTCAAATGCAATCTCACGAAGTAGTGTTGTAAATATATCGAAAATTTTAAAAATATATTTTACCTACACTTTACACCCCAAAAATTTTTGAAACTATACCATATCTCACTGCTAACTTGTCAAAGTATTTCAAAAATACTTTACTTTACGAATCCTCAGATCCTTTCAATATTCTTTACTTATACCAAATGTAGTATGGGTAAACTTCAAGTTCAAGTGCCACGAACTGATGACTACGTTTACAAATACAAATAAGGTTTTCAAACTGATGATGAGAACGTATATCGTTGGGTTTCAAATGAGCAAACCTCCACCAAAAGATTAAATCTGTGCATTCTAGAGCCTGTGCTATGAATGCATGAATGATGCATTTTGAGCATGTGTCAAAGTAAACAACACAAATGGTTCCTACGAAAATGTTCAGTTTAGGACTTGATTTTATTCGATGCAATGCTTTGTATTATAGGATGCTCATGCAATAAATAAGAATGAGAAATAACAGCGATATATTTTTAACGAAGAACTAAATATGTGATATTTCATAACAAATGCGCAATTGAAAAGTAAAACTGCTATTGAAAAGAGAATACATTTACGGATTGATTCATAAATACCAATACAAATGCGAAGCAACAATACAAAAATTTATCATTTCTACAATTCTATATGTGGCTGCATTCTGATTTTTTCATCACAATGCGAAAACTTATTTGAGAGGATACAAGAAAAAATGCTCAAAACGACAACGTTACACAGCGAAAAATTGAAAAACTGAAAATTATTGGACTGAAGTCGAAAAGTAATTTTAAAAAACAATCCACCTACAGATTAGTAATTGAATGGCTCTCACAAGAGTTCATCGATGAGAAATAATCGATGAAAAGGAAACTTTTTAAAGACGTCAAAATGAAAGGTAGATAAGAAAAATAGAGCTGACCTTTATGGAGCATCCGTTTCGGTATGTGGAAAACGGTTCGTTGACTGATGACGAGCACTGATCGGCTTCATCAGTCATGCTTGTTGGCTGAAAACTGAACACATCAGAAGTGAAACTTGCAGCAATGTTCAAGAATGCAAGATTCGTAATCAGTCGCAAACAATCTTTAAGTATGACACAAGTTCAATGCATGCAGTAGCATTCATCCATTACTCACTATCGCACACAATCATCTAATACCAAGCTAATATGTATACACGATTTCGGAACGAAAGAACTGATAGTACAATAATGGACTGATTCAAAGACATCTTCATGGATTGCATGCATAATAAAAAACCAACGATAATCGTTTCATTTCAAATGATTTAAAGATAATTTCACAAATTGCTTTGCTTGAATGGGATTCGTATCAGCTACTGCAAGATAATTAATTTGAAATGTGCTTTCAGAAACATACAAGGATATCCCACTAAATTACGGGATCAACAAAAGCCAGGAAGCTAATCATAAGTGTTATTTTAAAGATTCTATGCAAAATTTTACCCAGGAAGCAAATTAGAAAATAAATGAGATGATGACTCAACACTTTAGCTCTGCTGTGTTTTGCAATTGTAACAAATTGAAAAACACTGAAAGTAGCTCACTATCGTTAATCTATGTTTTATTCATACATGTCGACTCTGAATGATTGATGCATTCGAGAACATTTATTCCATGCTTTCAGTGGAGAGATGGGCAATAAAGGACTTGCAAGATTTTAACTTAAGAATGACGAGGACTCAATCGAGCTCGAGATTTACGGATAGAACATAGATTAACGACGTCGAGCTACTTCACCAATACGGCTGAATGATGACTTGAAACTGACTTGGTGGATCGACTATCGGACTGGATTTGATTTCGCTCCAAGTTCATGTTTAGTTCATGATGAAAAAAGCGTTATAAACGGTAAGGTGACAATTTTTTTTTCGAATTTCCGGACTCTTAAAATACCATCACAGAAAAATACGCCGTCTGATCTATAGAGTACCCATGCGAAATTTCGTCTCAAAAAGTTGGTTTGAAAGGTAGCTAGGTCAACTTGTTTTTCGCTTAAGGTGCGATTTCGCGGTTTTTAAATTTCAGCATCAAAAATGTGCATTCGAATCTGGAAAACTTAGTCTGAATGACCGCTGCGTTAAATTCTTCTCTACCTAAAGCAGCCAAGGAACAGTGCCAATGGCACGACACTTCAATACAGTTTTTCCGATGAACATCTGTAAAGGTTATTTGAAACTTTAAAAATACGATTCTGATAGGTGAGACCAAAAAAAGCGGAATTTGAAGCTTGTGCATTGGTGCTCTTGGAGTGAAAGAAAATTTGGCCAGCTACAATTTCTTTCAGTGAAATTTTACACAGATTAATTTTCGACCACAAGTCACATTGTTCTGACAATGAGCTGAAAAGCGCACTTTTCAGAGCTTCATTATTTCCATTGAGAAATTCATCACCCTAATGTACATATTCATTCGCACTCAATATCTGTTCAGTGGTAAGCTCTTTGCAATACGAACGGAATGCGATGCTGCAAATTCAGTCTCGCATTTGTTTCTTTGTTTCAGGCAATGAGATGCCCTCATCAAACATAGAGATAATCTTTCAGCTGTTGTTAAACAATTTTCAATATGACTATTTTAATCATCAAAGTGGTTTTTTAATCGCATCAAGAATACACAATAACATACAAGCATGTGTTTGTTGACAACTTAAAGAACTCAACGGAATAAGATTACAAGTCCACACGGCATAGAGTGAATACAAACGCAAACCTCTTCGAAGCCGTTTGATCGCTTCTCAATAACTGATAAAAACAGAAAATCAATAAGAGAAGGGAACGTTGAAGTAATTGTAACAAAGTAAATCAAAAGACGACTAATGATCAACCGAACACTTGCGCACATCTATGATAGTGGTGTCCCTGCTGCGAATCAACTGTTCTGTTCCGGTTCTATTCCTACGTAAAACAACAGAATAACTCCAATTTTTTTGGTTCGGGACTCGTATATACTGCAGACTTGTATACCAATCAAATGTACAGATCAAATAACCAGCAATCATGGAGAGTGTTACTTGATCACCAGATCATATCGTTGCGTTTTGATTCTTAGATCATATCGTAACAATAATAGCAAGGAATTTTACTTGAACGTGAAAATAAAGGAAGAGATATCGTAAAATAAAAGGCGTATGGCAGTATTGCTTTAGGAACATCTCTAACTGAAAGCAATCGACATTAAGATAAATTGGCTCAGAGTTTTAGCATTTGTCTGCAACCGAAAACTTTTCATGAATCATTCGTATCAAGTTCTGCAGAAAAATAATTTCGCATTGACTATTTTGCAGCAAATTACTTGTTTGAGACTGTCATTAGATGTGATACGTTCACATGTGACGTGGGAAATACGGTGCGATTTGAGACGTTTGTATCAGTTCTGAGATACAAACTCGTACACATTCAATACACATAATCAAAGGCTTTCAAACTTGATCGCAAAACGATGACAGCATCAAGAAAATGCAATATAGGTGAGTGAGTTAGCCAATGTCAAATGCAAAATTAGCAGATTGGTTGGGGAAAGCGAAAGTGTGGTCTTATCGACGGTTGAAGTAAATTGAATTCAACTGCACAAAACGTAAAGTTTTGAAGACAGTGAAGGCCTCGGTTCTGAAGGTCGGTAAGAAATCGAATAAAATGAGACGATAACAAAATTCTAACAAGCAAAGTATGATCAGCGCACAAAACTTTTGAAGCTCTAATTGCAATAAGAACAAACAAATAAAACGTTTCAAATGACTGGAAGTGGAATAGACATCTGTCATTATGATCGATGATGTTGCACAGCATTGCAAAAGTGAGATGAAAATCGAAGAGACGTAACGAACTGGATTTGTCGGGATGTGAATGCATTGCTTAAGTTAATAATAATGTTTGTCGACGATCATTTGAGATGACTTCAAAGACAAGTATATTTAAATGAAGTGTAAAATATTTCAGCTCTGTGTTCCACAATCACAAAGTAAGTGCAAACAAAACAATTTCCTTTCAGCGATAATGCATTCGAGTTGAAAATGCCCGTAACATTAGCCTCGTATTCACACTGAACGCAGACTTTGTTCCATTGAAATTCTCAGATTATATTGATATTACCGAATGGCATTGATTGATATTGATCTTTTTGGATTGGTATTGATATTCTTATTGTTAGACTAATATTACTGGACGGCATTCGGTATGATTCGTAAAAACATGTAAATTACTCACTGAAACGGATTTTTAGATCGTCATACAAAAGCACTACGATCGTAAATTTTATTTAAAAAAANAAAAAAACAAAATGCATTTGCATGATAGAATCAATTTGCATAATTATGGTTCATACTACATCACTTTTTCAACATATTTGTTCTGATTGTTTTTTTTCTCATATATTTGATGCAGATCGCAAAAATAGTGCGGAATATGCATAACAGAAATAGTGTAATCGGAAGGAATATCATAATTTCATGGCAGTTATATCACTTCATGACACTTATTTACCACTAATGAATTCAACGAATTATTCTGATACCGAAATATTCGTACAGTAAATGAATGTGGAATTGAGTATTAGCATAAAGTGAACGATGAACGCGAAAGCGAAATTTGTCCGATAGAAAACGTTTGTTGTTGGTTGTGCTCGATCGATAGACAACAGATGTATAAAGCACCAGCAGCACATAATGTACATAGCGATTATCTATGCACGATTGCTGATGCTGAGAAACGTTGAGAACGTTAAACAACCAAAACCCAAAACGTTCATCACAGCACTACATATGAGGTGATCGATTCGGCATTCACTCACAATCAGTTCATTCGTTCGATTAATCGTCTCGAGCTGAGACGATGAGACCACATGAGACAACCACTCATTCATTTTTGATACATATCATTTATTCATTTTCTAATTATCTCATATTCATAGCGAATCTGCACTTTTAAATATGTTAAGTGATATGATTACAATATTATTGAACGTTTGTTTCTTGATATTTATTATGACGTTAAAATATCCCTACACTCATTCAAATATTCTTGTACACAAAATAAGTTCATTCAGTTAACCTCTGGAGCAGTGACATCGTAAAGTTTTTGTGACAGTAATCATTTTCGATTTTTCGTTTCGATCTCATGACATTTAGTGAATTGAAACAACAGTGAATGAATGAATCGTTAAAAAATAGGAATCATTTGAAACTGAGAGATAGATATGAAGGTGTTGATGAGAATGAGGTAACGTTCTGCTGAACAATAATTGCACACACGTTAGTAGATAGGTTAGATAAGACATCACGAATTACGCTTTATTCATTTATGATTTGTCGTAAATGGACCATTCGATCCATTATGGATTATAATGTGAGTTATAGCAGAAGCACAAATAAACGTCTTAATACATCAATATTTCTTTCGTTTATGAGCTGTAGAATGGTGACTTTATCGCAGTGACGACAACCCAATGAAACGCCTTCTGCGCCGATTACCAATAACAATGAATCTTTCAACAGCAATAAGATATGATTACGCAGAAAAATTATTTGACTGTTCAAAATCCTAAGAGAACTGATAATCTTTAATAATATTGCATTACTCAGTGAGTAGCTGTAAGCATTTGTTCTGAATGAGNGCAGTTTATGGCATAGTTACGAACGTTAAATTTTACGACTTCGCTGAAACAACGAATATGATTCACTGAGTAGTTAGTATCCTACTCACATAAATATCGCTGAATTTCTGAGAGCAATTCAAGATGAGAACATATCCTCTCATAGTCGGTAATAGCACGAATGTGTCGGACACTTTGGGTATTGTGATTGGATTACAACAAATTCGAAGAGTTTGTGGGTCATGTCATCCTAGAACACTTTCATCTGAAGCCTGGTTCTTCACTCGGGCTTGACAATGTGGTTTTTGATGTGGATGGTCTTTTTTCGAAATCTGATCGATATTCTCATGTAATTGAAAAAAATGGAAATTGGAAATGTCTGATTGGAAATTCAGAATGAATCTCCTTACAATTAGAAAATCCAGCTTGGAATCTTTGGGCAAGCTGAAGTTGAGAAGCGATAGATTTTTTCAATGGCTATCAACCGAACAACCTATCGATGGTCATCGGTAAGGTAAATTTTCAGTGAAAGTCGGTCCTTTTCGATTTTGGTCGTTGAATCCGAAATTCGCTTTTTGGTGGCCATCGATACCGCGGCAAGATGCGCTTGTTGTTTTTTGTGAGGTTTCTCTGGCCGTCAATCGGTGATTTCCGAAATTTGCACTTCCGAAGTTGTCGGCCAATTGACCTCTTTCGGTTTCGGTGTGTGGCCACCGACCGAAATCGGGAAACTACCGATCAAACGCGAACTCGAGCAATGAAATGACAAACGCAAAATGATGCTCGCAGGAGGCTAACCGGGATTTTCTTAAAACAAGATGAGGAGGAACGTAAAGGCTTTTTTC